TGATCTTATTTAGTAGACGAAATTATTAGCGTCCTAATGCTACCTGCTTTCTTTTTCTCAAAGGTACGTGACGCAGTAGTAATTTGTGAATTTTTAAGTTGGCTGGAAAATGAGGTGAGTAAAGCATGCAATAGACCTTTTGCATGAAACGGTCAAATTGTACTAAATCTGCCATGGCAAAAGGATTTTTAGAAACAACCTCAAAGACACAAAAGGAACGCAGCCCGTCAAGCTTGACTTTTCTTTGTTTTGAACATCCCAGTGGGTATTTYGCCATCCAGTATGGCGGATTTAGTAACTTGTGACCGTTTAAGTCTCATCTCCAAATTTAAGATYTGYAKCTTCATGGTAAATATTCTTTTAGGTCAAGCTTAAGACGAAAAACCTTACAGAACTTTCCAGCGAGGAAAAACTTTTGCAATTGAGAAAGTAAGTGGCTTATAATTTCGTACTTCAACATTCTCCTTTTGATTTCTAAGATCTTGGAAGAGCTACATGACAGAAACCCAAAAACTTCCTCATCTTATGTCGATCCACACTGACTATAGCCTGATTTTCAGACGGGGCGTGGGTCCTACGCTTCATTCCACCCCACAGTGGGGGTTGGAGTGAAGCGCAGGACCCAGGCCCTGTCTGAAAATCAGGCTACACTGACTACGACCCTTTAAGATTATCTCTAGACTTTCCATTCCATTTGTTTTATCTCGATATTGTGTTTTAGTTGTTTCCATTCTCGTATTTCAATGTTTTTTATGTTTTCTCAATGTACTCAGAACCCAGGAAAACTACATAAGTCCCAGTTTTGCAACAATCTCTGGATTTGGACGAAACAGTGCCATTATACACTATAAGTAAGCCTTGAAATGCTTTATTTCTAGCTTGTAAACCCAGTTTAGTCATTGGCATACACTCCTCTGTGCTTTTTCCCCAAAACTGTTTACAGAAGCGTCATCACTCGTGTGTAAGATATTTGCTTGNATTTCTAAATAATTAATGTGATTGTCAGCTTCAGTTTCTGACCATATTCCACCCGTAGAGGTGTTATTCATAGCTCCCCCCCATCCGCTGAGGGAAGCATCAGAATATATGATTGTATCATGATTTTGGCGTGTGACGACATTATTTGTGTGTGTAATATTTTCTATCCACCATCTAATGTCAGCCTTTGCCATCTCTGACAACTCCATATTAGCATTATAATCTCCTTTGTGATGTTTTAAAGCCACAGTTTTCTCAATCTCTATTTGACGATAATATAGAGGTCCATACATGACTCCTGGAAAACTGGCAACCATATGACCAATTAACTCTGATATCCCTCTTATTGATACAGAGTGATTCTCTAATATTTTGTGTGATTTTTCCAAAATTTTTGCAGCTTTACTTTCTGTCAGTTTTATTGTCATGTCTATGGAGTTTAATTGAAACCCTAAGAAATTGACTGTTTGTCTGGGTGTAAGATCTGATTTTTCTTCATTTAAATTGAACCCCAGTTCTTTAAACAGGGTAATAGTTTTGACAATGTTTGTCTCACATTCTTGGAAAGTATTTCCTTGCAAGTAAGTATCATCAATATAGGCAACATTCTCCCAACCCTTACATCTCAATTCAGAGTAAACTGGTTTCATTAACTTTGTAAAAACCCTAGGGGCACAACTAAGCCCATTTGGGAGACAGGTAAACTGAAACAATCTGTTTTGCCATATAAACCTGAGGAATTTTCTGTTATTCTCAATGATTGACACTGAATAATAGGCATCTTTCAAATCTAATGTAGCCATATAACAGTTTGGCCTCATTAAAGTGATGGCACTTTTAAGGTTTTCCATCTTAAAATGATGGTATTCGATAAATTCATTTAATCCTTTTAAATTAAGGATCAATCTATAAGTTCCATTCCTCTTGGGTCTAATGAAAATATTTGAAATATATTCTCCAGCTGTATGTGTTGCTGGTTCAATTATGCCTGCTTCCAAAAATTCTTTAATTTTGGAATCTATTATTTTTATCTCAGCATTGTTGAAATTATACTGTTTTGGTATAAACCATTGCTTTGGCTGGGTCTCAAATTCAATTCTGAGTCCTTTCACCACATTTAAAATATAGTGATCTGATGTGAGTTTTTTCCAGGCTGGCACACAGTGTTTCAGTTTACCTGCTTTATGCCTTATGCAAAATGAATTGTCATTTGCATTGTTGGATTTACTCACCAAAACTTGATATTCATTGTCAACTAGTTTTGTTCTTTTGATTTGTCCTTCTTTTTGTAGGACTGGTGGGCAGGTTTCTTCCCTTGCCCTTGATGTTTGTATAAAAAAGACTTCCCATGACTGTTAGGGTACCTGTCTCTTTTGTGATAAGAATGCTTCGAGTAATTCGAGCTTGTCTTACTGGACACTTTCTGTCCAACCCTGTTGGTTTCGTTGATCTCTTTTACTGATTTGGGTAAGTCGTCCCCAAATAGTAGTTTTGATATTGGTGTTTGTGTACCACACAATTGCCTAAACTGATCATTTAGGTCTGGCTTGATCAAATCTCTTCGTTTGAGATTCACTTCATTGATAGAATGCCCCATGAGAATCAGGGAATCTAGTGCTAAAGCTAGACAATCACATACTTCTGTCTTAGAAGCTGTTTTGGCATTCGCTTTCAAGTTTAACAACTTATCAGCTATTTGAACAATGGGTAGCATGCTTTTGACAAGATTATTTTCGATCTTTTGCATCTTTAGATCCTTTGTTTTTGTGTTGCTTTTTAGTTTACTCCATATTTCAGGATTCACTTTCGTTCCCATAAGATTCTCACAGTTCTCAGGGCGATTGTACTTATCGTACTTTTCTTTTAGCTGTTCCTCTGATAAGGATGTTTTGACCATTTTATCAATCAAAGGAGCCAACTTCCCGTTAATTGGATCAGTTGTAGCTCCTTCTGTTTCATATAGCTTCGATAATTCTCTCAGAAGCTCATCTTCMTCCTCTTTTTGAGGCTTTRGGGCCGTATTCAGGAGGTCTTCGACCTCTTTGCTGACGTTGGCCGGGTTTCCCGCCATTTCTTCATTGCCGCCATTTTGTTCTTCGTCTTCGAGTTCGCTGTCTTCTGACTCACTCATTTCATTACTTTTTCGTTTAWGAGAGTGTTCTCTGTGAGAAAAACTCTCCATTCTCGAGGTCATTGACTCTACCATGGCCTTAAACGAAGATATTGATTCTTGMTGGATTTCCTTTAGTTCAGCTAGACCTTGTACAATACTAGCCTCGTGGGCTGTACTTGTACTAGACTCCCTCTCAAGTGCGGGACTTTTCCCTTTAMTTGCACTAKATGTATGAGAGGTCTTTTTTGCCTTTTTCAAGGTAGTTTTTGTCCTGGCATCTCCTTTCTCGGGTGCCAAAGTAACAGCTGTGTTCCTCGTGGGAGCACTCTGTTTTGCTTCTTCTGTGAATCCCACAGCCGATTCCGGCCTCTCGTGGTCAGTTAATAGAGCTAGTTCGTCCAGTGGATCGCTCATATTAGACTTTGTATCTATAAAACTGTGTTGTTCTTGCTTAATTTCAAGTAATTTAAAAATTTTTTCTCGCCTTCTCAAAATGCATCCGCCATGAGCGGGAAAGGTAAGCGCATTGACTTATGGGATTGGTATGTGCTATCTCATGGGATCCCTACACTGAATGATGACGAAATAGAATTATATGATAAACAGTATTAAATATAACTTGCTAAGGTTAATTTTTTATGAAAAGTCTATTCCCTCAAAGATGCTCTAGACAGCGAAAGCTCGGATTCAGTTACCAACTACCTAGACAAAAAAAGCCAAAGCTTCATTAGATGCAATTCTATTTCCTCAATGCAAGACTTCTTACTATTGTAGAAGTTCATAAGATGTTTGACAAGTATTACCGTTCCTTTCAATCTTTCCACAGAATGTACCCCAAAACTCAACTGTAGGAGTAGATCCTTTCTTATTATCAGTCTGTAAGTACATATCTTGTTCCGTACGAGAAAACTAAGAATTTTTAACTAATTCAGTATATTACGCATATTAGCTAGCTTAATCTTGAAGGGACATGGTCCACCAGCATCCCTTTCGAGCTTTTGCTCTTGTTTGAAAATAAAAATATATCGTAATCTAATCAAAAACTTACTCTTTATTATCCCTTTATACCATATAAATGTAGACACTGTGAGATTCGAAATTTAAACCGATGGAAACGGATTGCGAAAGATTTTTCATGTATGAAAATGTGGTGACCTCGATTATCCATTCGGAATGGATAATCGAGGTCACCACATTTTCATACATGAAAAATCTAAAACACGACCGCATTGATTGCTGGTGGAAAATGACCCTTTAAACAATTCTTTTAACTTTTAACCTAAGGTCCAAATTGTACTTTTCCTTCGAATAATATAAGGATTTGAAAATTCGCAAAGAATCAGAGTAGTTAATTGCAAGAAAGCGAAAATGCACCATATGAACTGAACTACCACATTTTCCAAGCATAACGTACGTATAGTCTCCTTCACGGATACCTGCGCCATCTTGAAAAGTAGCCATGCCTTTACATCGAAGCGAGACAACCGTTGAGCGTGCAATGATAGATACCTGTGAATAATTGTCTGTAGGTGTGAAAGAAGGTTTCTATCATTGCACGCTCAACGGTCGTATCGCTTCGATGCAAAGGCACGGCTACATTTCAAGATGGCGCAGGTAACCGTGAAGGAGACTATTCGGGTTTTAAATATGATATTTTTTCTTATTATTTTGTAACTACCTACAGGTGATTGGGACAGACTAGCTGCCGTAAGTACTATTAGTCTTACTCGTTGTTCGTATTACT